AATTGATCATACTAGAAAAATTTTTACAAAAATTCTAACAATTCAACTAACAAATATCTTAATAGATAATCAAGTACTATCTTTTATAACTTTGCAATCTTTTTTTATCAATCTACATTACAGCCAATCTCACAACTTACACAAATTCTAAAAGATGCAGCCAGTATTGAAAATCTGTTTTGAAATTTATGTTCTTATAAGAACACAATTATTTAATTTAATGTTCTCAAAAATATTTTTATGTTTTTAATAGCAAAAATTACTGTTACTATTTTTTGAAAATTTTCAGATAATATTGATAATTTATTTAAATTTTTATCTCAAACTTGCTTGTTTTTTATATTTGTTCATTCTCTTTTTAGAATTTTTAAAAATTTATTTATTTTCTAATTGTCAACATAATTTGTATTATAGTATATAGAGAACATATTTATCAAACAATATGTTTTCAAAAATTTTTTTATAAAGAACATATTCAAAATAACAAATCTTCTCAAATTTAAAAGTATGTTCTCTTAAGAACATGAGAACATTAGATTTCCTATACTGGATGCAGCTACAAATAAAAAAGAAGGCTGAATTCTTTCTCAAGACATGTTAAATGCCTTTGACTCAATCCATATACTTACTTTATGCAAGATACTTAAAAAAAGATATATCCTAGATAAGACAATAAATCTATTAGTATATCTGTTCTCCTATCAAACCAACAGAGTAATTACAAGTCTAGGTCTAACTACACCATACCTGATAGAAAATGGTATTGACCAAGAAAAAACAATTTCTTCTCTTCTTTAGAAAATATATTATAACCTATTAATATCATAAATATATAAATAACAGCAAGTATATTTTAGTAAAATTCCTTCTCTAAGTAAAAAAAAGATATATACCTTAGTAATGACCTATATGAATAACTTATTATAGATTGCATTAAACAAAATTTTACTAATATTTTATATACTATCTCCTTATTTTACAAGTTCACTAATATAAAAGTCAACTTATTGAAGTCTACTTTAATTACAAACTCATCAAACACCAACAACACTATTTTTTGATAAAAAAAAATTAATAGTAATTAATAACAAAGTACTATTTAAATACTTGGAAGCATGGTTCTCAACCAACAAAAAACCAATATTAATACAAAAAGAAATAATAGCTGAAGTTAAAATTAATTTAAAAAAATTACAATTTGCTAATATAATAGAAAAACAAGTAATCTATATTATAAATAGTGTTATTATCTTATGTTTTCTTTATTATTTATATTTCTTATTTCTTTTTTTCTCACAATTAGGCTTACTTAACAGAGCTTGTATTCAATTAATCAAACATCAAGCAAGACTAGCATATGGTATTCCAAATTTCTTTCTATTTAATTCAAAAATTTACATACTAGTAGATCTAAAACAAGCTTAAACATCAGCATTAGTTACAACACTTCAAAAAAACCTAAACCATCCCAACTTTAACTTTTCTTTTCTAAAACTATAGCTACAACAACTGCAAGATACAGCACTTACAAACATCTCAATTTTAAAACAACTTTTAGTATTCTCATTATCACAAATAAATATACAAATCTGCTAGATGATAATAGCATTGCATACATTAGGACTGTAAACTACACATAATAGTAAAAATTGGCCACATCCAAAGAAATTTATTAGAACATTTATAAATCAACTTCTTGAAAACCACTCTAGAGCCTCTTATCTTAAGGAAAAATTAAACAATTACAACATTACAAGTATTGAACAATTTTTAAATTCAACAAACACAGAACTGATCACATGAAATAACTTCTATTATAATATTAGAAAAATACCCAGAGGACAATGTCCTTGTTGGTTCTCTATAATGCAGGACCTAATAACTGACTCTGCGAACCTATTTTTAATACTTTCAAAATTAAACTCTTAGATCATAACCAATTGAATTTTAACAAGAAAAACTAGATAATTACAGAGAACTTAATTTGTAGAAAAATTCACAACCTACTCAAAAAGCATCTTAAAATCTGATATTACAATTTATATTTAGATAGTACACTAATAGCTTGCCAAGAATGCACTTTAAAAAACAGATCATACATTTCTAAATACTGTTATTTTAATACTATAGAACCAATCTATAATCTCTAAGTAGACTATAAAAAAAGAATTCATGTTAATTTTGATGATTTTAAAAAAACATTAACTTTAAACTTACTAGCAACAAATCAATCTCAAAAACAAGAAATGTATCCAGTCTTAGCTAGATCTTTATGCTTATTCAATAACCTTCCAATATCACCTTGGAATACAATGATAAAAAATAATTTTAACAAAAAAATAATAACATTATATATAACAAGTGGTTAATACAAAATAGAAAACAATTCTTGTATAATTGCAAGTTGTAGTTTTTAGCATCTCAACACCTCATTCAGTTGTTATACCAATTGTTGGCTTTCTTATTTAAACACTTTAAGAATTTTGTTAACCTTTATGCTTACTATAATAAATCCAAGTGCTAATATAAAAATATTTACTAACAACTCTCCATTTGCAAACATAATTACCTTTATACAATCAGTTCAATTACATAACTATCTTAGCCTAGATAAACAACAACATATTTATCTTCTTTTGATATTAAAAGCAATAACTTATAATCAAATTCTAATAATTATATTAGACAAAGAACTCAAAATCCTACAAACAAAAAACAATATCTTCCTACTAGATTCTAGATCACAAAAATTTCTATATAATCACTTTATCTTAAAGCTTCTTGACAACCCTTATACATATTTAGTAAAAACTACTCTAAAGCCAATTTATTAAATTACAAACAGAATAACTTGATCCAGTTAGTAGTGAATCTCATACTAACATATTTCATAAAACAAGATCAACTGAGCACTAACTCTGCAATATATATCACATGGAGAAAAACCTTTTACTTTAGTGACTGATCCTTTTTTCTCTGAACTAAAAAACTTTAAAATAAAACTACTCTCAGAAGAATTACTCACCCATCTCTTGCTTCACTAGAGAAATACTACCAAACATCCAAACTATCTATGTCCAAGATGTTATAATGTACTAGAAGATATAATACATCTTTTAACTTGCTTCTAAAACCACACATATCTTACAATCCTAATAAAAGATACAGTACAGAAAATATCAAATAACTTAAAAATATTATGCTATAAAATATATAGATTCACTTAAGCCTTTATTTCAAACTATATTAACAAGTATATGTCTTTGGGACTAATAACTACTAAGACACTGACATCTTTTGAAAACAACAAACAAAAAAATAAATATGCTTTTCTTATACATCACAATATTATTATTACAATATATAAAAAACTCTGACTTACCTTGAGAACAGTACAATATAATTCAGTTTTCCAAACCCTATCACCTCTACAGCTTCTAACATTAGCTAAAACTAATCCAACTCCAATATCAGTACTAAATGAAAAACTACAATTTTTTATCACTAATGAACAATCTTCTTTTTATCACCTTATCAAAGACTAAAGGTTTACTAACCATTCTAGCAAAGAATAGGTCAAGAATAAAGTAGCTCTTACCTCTATCTCTTCTAGTTTAGTTTCTTCAACATGTATCTTATATATGTAATTTGACTAATTAATAAAGAGATAGAGGATAGACTTCTCTTTTAAAAAAAAAAAAAACCACATTTTTCTATAATACGTATTACTGTTACATATAATACCAATGCTTCACAATTAGGTTTTCTTTTAAAAGTTTCTATTCCAGATTCATATTGCATTTGAACTTTTCACAAAACTTCACATTTGATTATAAACCTTTTTTGAGTTACAGAAACAAAATGCTTCTAATCTGACTTAATCATTGACTTTATCTGTAAAGGTTTGGGACTTAACCAGTAAGCTATAAAGCCCAAACCCTTTAGTAAAATCTTAATAAACAAATTTAAATTTTTATATAATTTAAAAGATAATTTTTATTTGTACATTAGTATATAAAACACAAATATATATAATTAAAGATGCCGGTGAAATTAAATTATACGTAGTAACAAAATAATTTAGTAAAAATGTGTTGAATTGGGAAATTAATTTCATCGTATCTCTATATATAATAACTCAAAATTTTGCTTATAAAACTGCATTTTAAGTTCTAACAAACAAATTTTCGTGAAATTTTAGTATAACTATACCCTAAATTTAACCCTAGCCCTGACTCTTATCTATCTTAACTTCAATCTAGTTTAAATTTTCTCTTTAAATTTTACTTTATATTGATTTACAAAATATATCCGTGTCATACACTGGTGTAAATTAATAATTTTCAGTTTAGAATTATTTTTTGAGTAAACTTTCTACGTAAAGCATACTTGATAAACAGCAAGTTTGAGCAAAAGACTATATAGCACAAAATGAAATTATTTTAGTTTTTTAAAAAGTTTAAAAATTAGAGCGACATAATAAAATTTTGCATAAAAATAGTTGATTCGTTTAGTAACTATGCTTAACAATCGGACTTAGTATGTCTATTTAAAAGCCTGCATTTATCAAAGTGCATTTAGGAACACATTCAATGATGAGAAATTATGAAGTGATACAATAAAAAAAGTTCACAAAACATACACTGTATGATTCTATTAACCTAGTGCCATGGCTTTAAGATAGTTGTAATTACTTGTATACGATAGAATTTTAAGTTGTTAACATCAGGGTCAAATGTCTTGAAATATTGAAAATTCACAATGAAATCAGAAGAAAAAGCTTGTTTTCAAATATACAGAAGCGTGTTCGTGCACATGTAATTGTTCTTTAATGCTACAAACACTACGGACAATTTTGATTTTATGACAAGAATGTTAGTGCCAATTTCTTTGACAATCTATGTTCACGAGTTACATTAGTCTACATACTTTTTTTTTGTATATTAGCCAAGAATTAGTTTTATCAAACAAGACATTTATATTTTCTAGACTCTAAAATTTTATTGTGGACGATGATGACCACTTTCCCTCATCCTTTGATTTGAGTTTCTTTCGAATACATCTAATCCTTCGCGATCGTCATGCCTGAATGTACCAAAGATATAATCAGATGATGAATCGAGTGGTTCAAAATCATCGTTTTCACGGTTATGTGACAGATGATGATGGTGATTAAAGTGACGGTGATTTGGATGTTGAATCTGCTGTTGACGTTGATAATATAAGTGGTAATCCATACTATCATCAAGCATGTCATAATCCTCATCAGTAGGAGTTGGTATTAAAGACATATGAGAAAATGGAGGAGGAGGGGCTACATTATGATGGAGATGATCACCATTTCTAATATTCAAAGGCTGGCTTTGTTGAGTAAATGCACGTGCGGAATGGTCATCTGTTATAGTCAAATTGTGTCCTGGATTACCGTCTGAAAGTTGGAAAATATGAATTTGTTGAAGGTTTGGATCGTGTATTTGGATCTGATAGAGTGGCTGGCCTGATTGTTCATTCTACCGGAACAATAAAACAATATATATATATATATATATATATCTAATGTCGATTTTTAATGAATTCCAGAAACTTCACATGATCTTAACATTACCTCCTCAAGGATCTGCAATGGTGTTCCTGAGAGAGACTTTATTGCAATTAAGATGTCTTGATGAAAAAGATTAATATTTTCGATTTCTGATTGATATACAAATGCGAGACTTTATAGGACCAAACAAATAAAGTAAGGGATATGATAATGTTTAGTAACACCCTAATAAGATCAAAACAAGTATTGATTCAAACCTTGCACTTCCTTCGGATTCATATATATTTTTTATACTGATGTCCACATCTTGATCAGCTCTTTCAAGTTCTAATTTCTCAGATTCAAGGGTAGCATTGGCAACTTGAAGTTCTTTTATCTTTTGTTTATAATCCTGGCATAAAGAAGAAGCCAATGGTAACTGCTGTACACCTCTATAACATAGATGTGCATTTATAAACATAATTGCGTAAAACAAAGAAAGTAAAAGGGACAAACTCTTAGAACACAAATTAGTATACTCACTTCCAACGAACATGATTTTTTGAATTTTTTTCGATTAATCCAATTCCTTCTAATACATTGGTGATATCGTATATCCTACGCTTTTGCACTTGCAAGGAGACGGCAGCAGTGTTTAAGTCTAAATCACCATCTTTTGCTTCTTTTAAGAGATTAACAAATTTCTTTGTGAGAAGACCAAGCGAGCTATCGTAACGGCATGAACTAGTTGCAATACTGGCGGAGTCTACAAAGTAAGAGGTGGAATACTAAAAACTTGAGCAACAGTTTTATAAGGCCAATCGACCATGGACGTTTAAACACTCCGGCTCACTGGTTACCGTGTGTCGGGGAATCCAAAGAAGACTGCTTTTTAGCACTTTGTCTTCGCCGTGGAGGCGTAAAGGAATTTGACTTTATAGTAGTAGAAGTAGGTTTTGGCATGCTCCTCCTATCTGAAGTAGTATCACTATATAAGATGATATAATTAAAATTAAGACATTTAAGATTGGTCAAAAAAAAAAATATATAACAAAATTACATTCGCTACAACTTTCGAAGAGAGTAGCAGAAAATCATTAAACAATCTAAAAATGTTAAATAGGATAAATACGTGGGGTATCAGTCTAAAACAGAAAATTTTTCGTCGTAAAATTTCCTAAAGAGTAAATAATGATTATAAATTTAATTAACAACTTTCTTCTAGGGCTATTGTGGCATTGTTATCTGATGAGTCTTGGTCACACAATTGTTTAGACAATGAAACGAAAATATGGAGGGCGATTCAAGTTGGTTCACCTAATTGCGTTATGATCAATTCTTGTCTTACCAGTGATGGCATATGATTATGTTTGTTTCATATGTATATGTCCTTTTGGCTGCTTGGGAATATTCAATTCTTGTAAAATTCTTACACATCATTATTGTGTTATTGGAAAATCTTATTGTTATGTAATTAATTATACTGTTTTCGTCAAAAAAAATGTACACAAGACGAATATACTATCCCAAACATTTTTTTCTTTGTAAAAAAAAAAAAATTCCTGACCATAAAAATAAATAAATGTAAATATTAGCGTTAGGAATATCCACAAAACCTATAAATTTCGGCAATACCGGTCATCCAAACGAAATTTAACTAAATGTCATATGTTTTATTAACCGACCCAATTAGTTATACTGTATGAATATTTGGGTTCATAGTTTAGAGAAATCACCGTTCGTCGAGTAGGATCGCAATTACGTAAACCATTAGAAATTTCGTAATATTTGGGCTTTATTCTTTCTGGTTGTCGTCCAGGCTATCTGGATTAGCATCAAATATGGTTAAAACTATATGTGATGTTAATTATCACATGGTTTGGGTAGTTTGGATTCTATCGTAGATTATTAATAGGTATATGTATAATTTGAAATTTTAAAATGAACCACCTTTTCAGGTCCAGATAAAGTTTCTGGTACGTACTAGCTATTAAGATCGTCAAATCGCAAGATGCATTTTACACCTTTAGTATGTAATGTGACTATTTGAGGTGTTCTCCCGTACATATTGATATGCAAGTACGTACGTACGTACATACCAAAATCAAAATCTTTACTACTCTTAGACAAAAATCGATGGTTTTCCATTCTTGATGAAATAAAAAAAGTTGAAAACACGTATAAGAGGTAACTAACGCGCATGTTGGTGGTAGAAGGAGTAATAAAAGGCACGTATCTTAGATGATAAGGTAAAGGGTGGTATTCTGGCGCACCGAAGCTCTATTACCAATTAAAATTTTATAAATCAATATTTATTTCTAAAACTCATTTAAATCAACCAATTTAATGCTTGACTAATAAAAAAATATATGAGTATTATTACAACTTTTTTGAATATTAAGATTTTTGTCAACCTTAGGACTATTTTATTCTTGAAGTAAACCTTCCAGAGTCTTCTGTATCCATTTTTATAGTTGATCTAGGTATCATTATGGCAGAACCAACACTTGTAATCAGAATTATATTATTTAACTGCTATGCTCTTGTAAAGTTCACACAAACCCTAGCATCTACTTCACAGCATAATTCCAGTACTTTAATATATCTTACTTTTTCATTTGTCTTTTTACCAGATTTCTAATCCAAATAGTTCATATAAAATTATAATCAATCTATTAGTATATCAGATCAGTTTAATATTCTTTTCTTCTAGTTTGTTCTAGTGGTCTGATTGGTAGTACTTCTGAGATTCTATTCAGATACTATGATCAGATATTATGATCTTAGTATCTATTTTTTCAGATTAAATTTTATAGTAAGGTTATTGAAAATCTAATTATCTTTCTACTTAGGTCTTCTTAAATAAACTTTTTGTTATTTAATTTCAAAAAATTTATATGATTACAAGAACTTATCTAGTATTTGTATTACTAATTGTCAATTTGCATTCTTCTATATAATTACACAGATGTTCCATGATCTGCTAATCATATTGATACAATCATCATTATAGGTATTCTAATCCAATTGTTAGTAATAGTTACTATAATACAAATATTATATAGGTGATTATTCAAATTTTTGGCATTAATAAAATTTGAACACTTAACTTACTACTTGGAAGGTTGACAACTTAACTATTTCACTAGATTGTTATACCCCAAAGTTCTATTTAAAAAATTTAAAAATTATACAAATATTTTTATAATAAAAAGATATAACTACTAGTAACTAAAATTATAAAAATAATAAAGATATATGTTTTCTTAAGTTTATTATTAAATAACATATTTTAAAATAAATAATAATCTAAATATAAGTTCAAAAAAAGAAAATAAGTACTATTTAAATAATATATAAATATATAAAATTAAGCTAATAGAAATTAAACAAATTTTTTTCAAATAAATTTTTTAAAACTTTAAATAAAGTTAGTTTAATTAAATTTTTATTAAATTTAATAAAACTTTTTTAAAATAAATACTATAAGTTTATAAAATTTATTTTTTTAAAAAAATTATTAAATTTAATTAAGTTTTTATTAAGTTATTCTTATTTAAAAATTTAAAAAAATCTAATAAAAAGATATAATAACTTGAAATAATTAGTAAATTGTTAACTCAAATTCTATTTATAATGAAATTTGGATATTTTATTTATATTATAATAATTATTTCTTATTTTTTTTTTTTTTTATAATGCCAATCATAATACTTTATTTAATTAATACCAGATTAATATATTTAGAATTATTACATTCTATTTGTACTACTATATTACTATATAGACACCTAATATGACATTATATCTACACTTTCCTAAATTAAGACTAGTACTATAGTGTTTCAATTATTGTTACTAATTAAGATAAGGTTGTAGTTACCTTGTAATACTATATTCCCTAATTCTATCTAACTATAGTCCTCCTATCTACTTTTTGTAATAACCTATTCCTTCTCTCAAATTGGTTGACTCTAGTAGTTTCTTGCTCTTCTTGCTACCAATTTGGTATATACAGCCTTCTATGTATTAGTACCAATTGGCATAGCTAGATTTATTGAAATTCTGGATTATCATCTGCAGCTATCACATACTTTTTTTTATATACTCCCATAGTTGTAGTACTATTGTACTTCCAATTTGGTATTGCAAGAGTGTCTGAAACCTTGACTTATTATGTACAAGTATAGTAACCATCAATGATATTGTAATATACTACTATTGTTTTGCTTCTTAAGGGTTTATAGTATCTGCCTAAGATGTTCCAATTTGGTTAGACCAATCCTTTATCACAGATCTTCTTTGTATGCATTGTTTTGCTCACTATTCCAGTTTTAACTACATTAGTATTACCCTTCTAATCAAGTCTCTGCAAGTTGGATACAGAGATGTTGGTGCTGCTTCATCTTGATAAGACTTATCTGTGCAACACTTTTAGTAGTAGAACCTTCTGTAACACTACTGTCACACATAGTGCCTTCTTTCTGTAAAGTTGATCACCTTCTGGAAATTCCTAATTCATCTTTGTACTTTACCTTGGGATTTACTACAGAGCTTCATATTCAATTTGGCTCTTATATTAGGTTACAGAGTTAAAATTCTTAAATTTTGCTTCCAGCCTGACTTGAACTATTGACCTCATTTGTAGGGAGTTGGCGGTTTAACAATTAAGCTATAGAGCCCAACCCCAATTTTTTCTTATTAATTAGTTGAATTTATATATTTGTAATTTTAGATATATTAAGTTAGATTTTACCTAATATTAAGAACTTAAGATATCTATATAAAAGTATAATATTATATATAATATATATAAAGAACTGTTAATAACTAATATTGTATAGGGTGTGGCGACCTAGTGAAGTGGTCAGGTTGTCAACCCCCCAAGTGGTAGGTTGGGTGTTCAAATCCTATCAACGACGAAAATTTGAATAATCACCTATGTAATATTCGTATTATGGCAACTGTTACTAACGGTTAGGTTAGGATACCTGTAATGGCGGTCACACCAGCATGACTGGCAGGTCATGGGGCATCTGTGCAATGTTGGAGTTACA